AGAGAGGCATTCCACTTTTAAATCGGGTAAAAATTTCAAAAGTTTGGGCTTAGCAGTGCTGGGATCTGGTCACTTTTCTGCAAACCCATTTTTTGCAAATTTTGACAGGTCGGGGGTCATAAAAAATTACAAAATATGGACCAAAAATTCGAAAATAAACTAATGATGCAGCTAGATAGATATTTTAATAACAAATTCAGAGAGGTATTCCACTTTTAAATCGGGTAAAAATTTCAAAAGTGATGGGCTAAGCAGTGCTGGGATCTGGTCACTTTTCTGCAAACCCATTTTTTGCAAATTTTGACAGGTCGGGGGTCATAAAAATTACAAAATATTGACCAACAATTCGAAAATAAACCAATGATGCAGCTAGATAGATATTTTAATAACAAATTCAGAGAGGTATTCCACTTTTAAATCGGGTAAAAATTTCAAAAGTTATGGGCTAAGCAGTGCTGGGTTCTGGTCACTTTTCTGCAAACCCATTTTTTGCAAATTTTGACAGGTCGGGGGTCATAAAAAATTACAAAATATTGACCAAAAATTCGAAAATAAACCAATAATGCAGCTAGATAGATATTCGAATAACAAATTCAGAGAGGTATTCCACTTTTAAATCGGGTAAAAATTTCAAAAGTTATGGGCTAAGCAGTGCTGGGATCTGGTCACTTTTCTGCAAACCCATTTTTTGCAAATTTTGACAGGTCGGGGGTCATAAAAAATTACAAAATATTGACCAAAAATTCGAAAATAAACCAATAATGCAGCTAGATAGATATTTTAACAACAAATTCAGAGAGGTATTCCACTTTTAAATCGGGTAAAAATTTCTAAAGTGTTGGGCTAAGCAGTGCTGGGATCTGGTCACTTTTCTGCAAACCCATTTTTTGCAAATTTTGACAGGTCGGGGGTCATAAAAAATTACAAAATATTGACCAAAAATTCGAAAATAAACCAATAATGCAGCTAGATAGATATTTTAATAACAAATTCAGAGAGGTATTCCACTTTTAAATCGGGTAAAAATTTCAAAAGTTTGGGCTAAGCAGTGCTGGGATCTGGTCACTTTTCTGCAAACCCATTTTTTGCAAATTTTGACAGGTCGGGGGTCATAAAAAATTACAAAATATTGACCAAAAATTCGAAAATAAACCAATAATGCAGCTAGATAGATATTTTAATAACAAATTCAGAGAGGTATTCCACTTTTAAATCGGGTAAAAATTTCAAAAGTTATGGGCTAAGCAGTGCTGGGATCTGGTCACTTTTCTGCAAACCCATTTTTTGCAAATTTTGACAGGTCGGGGGTCATAAAAAATTACAAAATATTGACCAAAAATTCGAAAATAAACCAATGATGCAGCTAGATAGATATTTTAATAACAAATTCAGAGAGGTATTCCACTTTTAAATCGGGTAAAAATTTCAAAAGTTATGGGCTAAGCAGTGCTGGGATCTGGTCACTTTTCTGCAAACCCATTTTTTGCAAATTTTGACAGGTCGGGGGTCATAAAAAATTACAAAATATTGACCAAAAATTCGAAAATAAACCAATAATGCAGCTAGATAGATATTTTAATAACAAATTCAGAGAGGTATTCCACTTTTAAATCGGGTAAAAATTTCAAAAGTTATGGGCTAAGCAGTGCTGGGTTCTGGTCACTTTTCTGCAAACCCATTTTTTGCAAATTTTGACAGGTCGGGGGTCATAAAAAATTACAAAATATTGACCAAAAATTCGAAAATAAACCAATAATGCAGCTAGATAGATATTTTAATAACAAATTCAGAGAGGTATTCCACTTTTAAATCGGGTAAAAATTTCAAAAGTTTGGGCTAAGCAGTGCTGGGATCTGGTCACTTTTCTGCAAACCCATTTTTTGCAAATTTTGACAGGTCGGGGGTCATAAAAAACTACAAAATATTGACCAAAAATTCGAAAATAAACCAATAATGCAGCTAGATAGATATTTTAATAACAAATTCAGAGAGGTATTCCACTTTTAAATCGGGTAAAAATTTCAAAAGTTTGGGCTAAGCAGTGCTGGGATCTGGTCACTTTTCTGCAAACCCATTTTTTGCAAATTTTGACAGGTCGGGGGTCATAAAAAATGACAAAATATTGACCAAAAATTCGAAAATAAACCAATAATGCAGCTAGATAGATATTTTAATAACAAATTCAGAGAGGTATTCCACTTTTAAATCGGGTAAAAATTTCAAAAGTTATGGGCTAAGCAGTGCTGGGATCTGGTCACTTTTCTGCAAACCCATTTTTTTGCAAATTTTGACAGGTCGGGGGTCATAAAAAATTACAAAATATTGACCAAAAATTCGAAAATAAACCAATAATGCAGCTAGATAGATATTCGAATAACAAATTCAGAGAGGTATTCCACTTTTAAATCGGGTAAAAATTTCAAAAGTTTGGGCTAAGCAGTGCTGGGATCTGGTCACTTTTCTGCAAACCCATTTTTTGCAAATTTTGACAGGTCGGGGGTCATAAAAAACTACAAAATATTGACCAAAAATTCGAAAATAAACCAATAATGCAGCTAGATAGATATTTTAACAACAAATTCAGAGAGGTATTCCACTTTTAAATCGGGTAAAAATTTCAAAAGTTTGGGCTAAGCAGTGCTGGGATCTGGTCACTTTTCTGCAAACCCATTTTTTGCAAATTTTGACAGGTCGGGGGTCATAAAAAATTACAAAATATTGACCAAAAATTCGAAAATAAACCAATAATGCAGCTAGATAGATATTTTAATAACAAATTCAGAGAGGTATTCCACTTTTAAATCGGGTAAAAATTTCAAAAGTTATGGGCTAAGCAGTGCTGGGATCTGGTCACTTTTCTGCAAACCCATTTTTTGCAAATTTTGACAGGTCGGGGGTCATAAAAAACTACAAAATATTGACCAAAAATTCGAAAATAAACCAATAATGCAGCTAGATAGATATTTTAATAACAAATTCAGAGAGGTATTCCACTTTTAAATCGGGTAAAAATTTCAAAAGTTATGGGCTAAGCAGTGCTGGGATCTGGTCACTTTTCTGCAAACCCATTTTTTGCAAATTTTGACAGGTCGGGGGTCATAAAAAAATTACAAAATATTGACCAAAAATTCGAAAATAAACCAATAATGCAGCTAGATAGATATTTTAATAACAAATTCAGAGAGGTATTCCACTTTTAAATCGGGTAAAAATTTCAAAAGTTATGGGCTAAGCAGTGCTGGGATCTGGTCACTTTTCTGCAAACCCATTTTTTGCAAATTTTGACAGGTCGGGGGTCATAAAAAATGACAAAATATTGACCAAAAATTCGAAAATAAACCAATAATGCAGCTAGATAGATATTTTAACAACAAATTCAGAGAGGTATTCCACTTTTAAATCGGGTAAAAATTTCAAAAGTTATGGGATAAGCAGTGCTGGGATCTGGTCACTTTTCTGCAAACCCATTTTTTGCAAATTTTGACAGGTCGGGGGTCATAAAAAATTACAAAATATTGACCAAAAATTCGAAAATAAACCAATAATGCAGCTAGATAGATATTTTAATAACAAATTCAGAGAGGTATTCCACTTTTAAATCGGGTAAAAATTTCAAAAGTTATGGGCTAAGCAGTGCTGGGATCTGGTCACTTTTCTGCAAACCCATTTTTTGCAAATTTTGACAGGTCGGGGGTCATAAAAAACTACAAAATATTGACCAAAAATTCTAAAAAAAACCAAATAATGCAGCTAGATAGATATTTTAATAACAAATTCAGAGAGGTATTCCACTTTTAAATCGGGTAAAAATTTCAAAAGTTTGGGCTAAGCAGTGCTGGGATCTGGTCACTTTTCTGCAAACCCATTTTTTGCAAATTTTGACAGGTCGGGGGTCATAAAAAATGACGAAACATTGACCAAAAATTCGAAAATAAACCAATGATGTAGCTAGATAGATATTTTAATAACAAATTCAGAGAGGCATTCCACTTTTAAATCGGGTAAAAATTTCAAAAGTTATGGGATAAGCAGTGCTGGGATCTGGTCACTTTTCTGCAAACCCATTTTTTTGCAAATTTTGACAGGTCGGGGGTCATAAAAAATTACAAAATATTGACCAAAAATTCGAAAATAAACCAATAATGCAGCTAGATAGATACTCGAATAACAAATTCAGAGAGGTATTCCACTTTTAAATCGGGTAAAAATTTCAAAAGTTTGGGCTAAGCAGTGCTGGGATCTGGTCACTTTTCTGCAAACCCATTTTTTGCAAATTTTGACAGGTCGGGGGTCATAAAAAATGACGAAACATTGACCAAAAATTCGAAAATAAACCAATAATGCAGCTAGATAGATATTTTAACAACAAATTCAGAGAGGTATTCCACTTTTAAATCGGGTAAAAATTTCAAAAGTTATGGGCTAAGCAGTGCTGGGTTCTGGTCACTTTTCTGCAAACCCATTTGTTTGGCTAATAAGCTTTTTACTAGCCAACAAACCAAATTGAGACCTAATAAACACGCACAAATTTAGGTTTATTTTATATTTAAATATAATGTTTATTAAGTCGCACAGCACTTAGTTTGAGTTTTTACGAAATAGATCAGGCAGGCACGAGTTGCCTCTGATTTCAAAACGATAAAAGGTTCGAAGTAGATCAAGCAGACTCGAAGTAGTCTTTGATCAGAAATGCAAGTGAGCAAGAACTTGAGACGAATTGCCACGACGAACGACAGTTGACGACTCATAATTGATTTTAGGCTGCACTCGGCTGAAGGGCAAGCGCGGCGAATACATACATAGATGAAGATAACAGATAAAGAAAACATTGCTTCGCAGAGCAATTTACAAATTTAAGAGAGTTTTGTTTGGTGCTGCATAACCAAACATCCTCCCCCCGTTGGAAGACACGGGGTTTCAACTTCATCTTGGATAGGCAGCACACATAATCTTCGGATAGCTCGTTTAATTGTCCCAGTTGCAGTTTTTAGGGCAGCTACACGGACAACTTTGTCTTCTCCGGCGATCAGCTCGTCCACTCTAGCCAGTGGCCACTTAAGTGGAGGAAGGTTCTCGTCCTTCACTAAGACAACATCGTTGATCTTGAGATTTGGATGATTGGTGCGCCACTTAGCACGCTGTTGAAGAAGTGTTAGGTATTCTTCTCGCCAACGGGCCCAGAAAACTTGCTGATGGTAAGATATTCGCTGCCATCGATCCAATCGGTTGCAATTTAACAGTGTGACATCAGGCTCTGGAAACAACACCAGAGGAGCGGTGCCAAGAAAGTGTGCGGGAGTTAACACATCCAAGTCGGCTGGGTTCTCTGAAAGAGGAAGCAGAGGTCTAGAGTTGATTATCGCCCCAATGTGGCAAACTAGCGTGCGCAGCTCGTCAAACGATAATAGCGATGGGCCAACTGAACGATAGAAATGGAATTTGGCCGTTTTTACTGCAGCCTCCCAGAGGCCTCCAAAGTGAGGCGAACGGGGAGGAATGAATCGCCACTCAATGTTATCCTCCAGACAGAATTCCTGCACGGAACGTATGTGGGGGTCGCACAGGAACAAACGTTTCAGCTCGGTCAGCTCGTTCTTGGCGCCAACAAAATTGGTTGCATTATCCGACCATATTCGAGCAGGCTTGCCCCTTGTTAGAATAAAGCGCTTCAACGCTCCAAGAAATGCTTGCGTCGACAAATCCTGAACAAGTTCCAAGTGCACCGCTTTCGTCGAAAAACATATGAAGATGCAGACATACGTTTTTACAGGAACCTTGCCTCGAACCCCAGTCCTGTAATGGAACGGACCACAGAAATCCAACCCTGTGACCATAAACGTCCACGTTGAAGATACCCGGCTCTTTGGCAAATCAGCCATTACATGCTCAAACAGTCGGGGTTTGGCTCTGAAGCAGATAATGCATTTATTGACCACAGTTGTGACAGTTTTGCGTCCTCCAATTGGCCAATACTGCAGACGAATGTGTGCAAGCAGAGATCGAGGTCCCGAATGGAGTTTGCGCCGATGAAAGTGCATGATAAGTGCGTGGGTTACTGGATGACTCCTCGGTAATATAATAGGATGCTGAGACTCAAAGGCCAATCCAGAATTCTTTAAACGACCACCAACACGCATTATGCCAAATTCATCTATGAACGGTGCAAGAGAAAAAATTTGACTTGAGGATTTAATTGAAAGTTTACCTTGCAGTCGTTTGTAGTCAGCTGCAAGGTTGTTCATCTGGATGGTGCGAAGGAGCAACTGCGTTCCAAGCTGAATATGCTCGACTGTAATTCCAGAGTGCCGGATGCGATGTCGAAATTTAAAGACGTATGCAAATACATGGGTCAGCTTTTGCCAGGAATTGCTGAACTTGCATTGCAACGTCATGTCATTGGAAGGCGTGGTATGAGCCACGAGCGAATTTCTCATTTCTGGTAACGGAGTGATGGCAGAATGCGGGGCGGGCCAGTGAATTCTGTCATTGCACAGGAACGATGGACCTCTTGACCATAGCGATGACTCAAGCAGCTCGCTTGGAAGTGATCCCCTCGACAAAATGTCAGCTGGGTTACAAAACGTGGGTACATATCGCCAATCCATTCCGTTGGTCAGCTCCTGTATCGAAGCAATTCGGTTTGCGGTGAAGACTTGGAACCGGGAGGGCTCATCCTTAATCCACGAAAGTACGACGGACGAGTCGGACCAGCAAAAGAACGGGCAAGAGAAAACGTTCATATCACGGACTTCTCGGATGAGTTGAGACAACAGCAGAGCGGCACAAAGTTCCAATTTGGGAATCGTAAGCGTCTTCAGCGGAGCCACACGAGACTTAGCACAAAGTAGCTGAGCCTCTCTACGACCTTGTGATGAAGACACAGCGTAGATACAGCCACCATACGCATTTATGCTGGCATCGCTGAAACCATGGAGCTCTATGATGCCGGCAGGCTGAACAGCTAAGCGAGGAAATTTCATTTGCTGGGTGCAAGCAATATCAGCTGTTAACTTCAGCCAAGACGAATTTAGCGCAGAGGGAAGGCTCTCATCCCAATCCAATTTCTCCTTCCAAAGCTGCTGCAAAAAGATTTTTGCTTTGGTTATGACAGGGCAGATGAGGCCGAGGGGGTCATAGAAGCGGGCTATTGTGGACAGCACGGACCTCTTGCTAGGTTTTAAGATGCGCTGCATGGGAGAGAAAGAAAACATTAGAACGTCTGAAGTAGGATCCCAAGCGAGCCCCAGCGTTTTGGTAATGTCGCTTCCATCGTCGAACTTCAGGAATGTTTCCCTTTCTGGCTCGGGTGTTTCCTTAAGAACAACGGGGTCATTAGAGCACCATTTTCTCAGCTTGAACTGCCCTTTTCCAAGCAATTCCTGGGTTTGACGCATGATCTCTAAAACATCTTGAGCGGAGTTGCCACCAGTAATCAGATCATCAACGTAAAAATCCCGCTTGAGAATTTGGGAGCCAATGGGATACGAATTCTCCTCATCAATAGCAAGCTGATGCATGGCCCGCACAGATAGAAATGATGCACGCTTGGTTCCATAAGTTACTGTATCCAGCCTGTAAACTTGTATCTCCTGGCTTGGTGAATCTCTCCAAAGAAGGCACTGCAGAAAACTATCGGGCTCGGCAACTCGAACGCAACGATACATCTTGCAAATGTCACCAGTCAGGGCCACAGGAAACGTTCGGAATTGAAGCAGGGTCCGAAATAGTTTGGGCTGAATGGTAGGACCAGCCATAAGGACGTCATTCAAGGAAGATCCAGACGACGTTCGGGCAGACCCATCAAAAACTACACGCAATTTCGTTGTGGTGCTGTCCTTTTTGAAAACGCAATGATGGGGAAGATAATACTGGCAAAGACCAATCGAATCTTTGCTAACGAGTGACATGTGATTCAAGTCCAAATATTCACGAATGAAAGCCGAATATTGAGACTTGAGCTGCGGGTGACGTTGAAGTTTATGTTCCAAATTCAAAAAACGACGATAAGCGTGAGCATAAGAATCTCCGAGCATATCCAAGCTATGCTTTAACGGAAGGCGAACAGAGTATGCTCCGGTAGCCAGGCGAGCAAAGTTGGTTTTGAAATGTTCCTCACATTCGAGCTCCTCTTTGGAAAATTTGCAGGCGTAATCAGGAACACTCTCTATTTCCCAAAAGCGTCGAAGTATTTCATCCAATGGCGACTCAACTTCTTCGACGGAAGATACAGACGTCTGAGCTGCAAGAGCCGATGATTCACGGTGTTCTGAGCCACCTCCTGCGACGACCCATCCTAGACGGGTTTTTTGCAGCAAAGGAAGACCAGGAGTGAGTTTTATTTGACCCACACAAAGAAGCTCAAAGAAAAGACTTGCTCCAATTAATAAGTCAATTTTTTGAGGTTTGTGGAAATCCGGATCGGCAAGCTGAAGGTTTGCTGGTATATTCCAGTTCTCCGGACTCATAGGCAGGCTAGGCTGGTTTCCCGTAATCGTTGGAGCAACTAAGGCAGAGATGTATAATTTGAAGTTTGGGACTTCAAGCTAAATTGCACCGATACTCCATCGGAGTCGAATTTAGAATCTCCAAGTCCGGAGACAAGAGTAGACGATTTTTCTCTACGAAGCTGAAGTTGATGAGCAAATCGGGAAGTAATGATATGAAGCTGAGCACCACCATCAAGAAGTGCACGACATGGCACCCAGGTGCCAGAACGGCTTTGAATGTTTACAATCGCAGTGGCTAGTAGCACATAATCAGCTTGAGGATTTTGGGCGATCAGAGAGGTAGCATGCGAGGGAGCTGATGAGTTTGCGGAACTATGCGAAGTATCCAAAGTTGGAGATGGCGCAGCCTGAGGACAAGCAACATTATCACGAGGTTGATTTGGAGATCCTGGTGACTCGAAATGTAACAAGCTGTGATGCTTGGATCCACAGACTCGACAAGAACTAGACGCACAATTTTTCATCTGATGGCCCTTTCTTAGACAATTTAGGCATAAGCCAAGTCTTTTCGCTCTCTGAAGACGAAGTTGAGGAGTTAAATTAGTAAACTGATTGCAATTATAGACTGAATGGTTTGCGCTATTGTAACAAACACAACCATTGGCAGTCATATTGGTAGCAAGAAACGAGTTTTTATTACTAGAACTGTTTCTGCCCTTTACGATTTGAGGTTTACTTGCGTAAATTGTTGCAACATGCTCCACATTTTCCAATTTTAAGCAGCGCTTGTCCAAAAAAATCCAAAAATTGTTGGCATGTCGGAACTTGATCAATTAATGCCGTTTCCTCCCATTTTGCCTGAGTCGAGGTGTCCAATTTCTGAAGCAAACTGTGGATGATGATGGATCCAGAAATTTGCTCAGCAGTTCCCATCGACTGCAATGAACGCAAATTTGTGTTGATTTTGTCCGAAAACTCCCGTAACCTCGCCGCTGTCGCATTCTCTACCTTCTGCATGCCCAAAATCTCTGCGATATGTGCCTGAAAAATAAGACGTTTGTTGTTAAAGCGTTTGTTGAGCAAATCCAAAGCAACAGCATAGTTATCATTGCAAATATCCAGCGAGCGAACAGAATCCAATGCGGAGCCTTTCAGGCACGACTTCAAATGTTGGAGCTTTTCCACGGGCGAAAGATCAGGATCTTGATCGATGATGGTCGAAAACATGGAGAAAAAGTTGGCATATTCGGTGTAGCCACCACTAAATTCGGGCAATTTAATTTCCGGGAGACGAAGCCTTTTGTTAGGCTGACTAGCAGCGGAATCCATGGCGGGTTCCTGGCGCAACGTTGAGCACGGCAAACTGGCCACCTTACGCTTACCAATCTCCTGGAGCACAATTGATTTTGCGGATAAAATCAATTCCTCAAATTCATCCGGCAGCGGACTATCGATTTCATCGTAGTCAAGCTCTTCGAGAGACCCATGAGCCAGGTTAAACGAAACTTCGGTTTTATTCAGCAACTCCAGTCGCAAACTAAGTTCTTCTTCAGCCATCAGGGAAATTCGATCGAAGGTCAATGAACTTTCAATGCTTTGCGCATGCATGAAAATTGACCGAGATTTCCTTTTATAAAACTGCGCCTTGTCGATGTTGACAAGAGTAATTTCCGTTGACATTTTTAGCCGAAAATTTATTTATAAAACAAAGTTCAAATAATTGCAGTTCGCGACGAAGAGGTTATGGCACAGTTTTGAAGCTTTGACAGTTTTGAAGGCACTGGCGCCAAATTGCAAGCCTGAATCGACCACGAGAAGTAAATGCTGGCTTCTCTTCTGCTAGCATTAAAACCAAAAACAACCATCAGCTGCAGATCAATGAACTTGCGAAAAACGTTTGACAAGCGAGAGCCAGAGCGAGAGCGAGATTGAGAGAGCGATACCGTACGAACCGATGCGAGAGCGAGATGCGAAATTATGTGTACATAAATACATATAAACGCATGTGCAAAACCAACCCTTTTGCGCAGGTTAATTTTATACATTTATATTTTCCAAAATGATTAACTAAATTTTTCTATCACGTCGGGGTCACCAAAATGTTTGGCTAATAAGCTTTTTTACTAGCCAACAAACCAAATTGGGACCTAATAAACACGCACAAATTTAGGTTTATTTTATATTTAAATATAATGTTTATTAAGTCGCACAGCACTTAGTTTGAGTTTTTACGAAATAGATCAGGATAAAAGGTTCGAAGTAGATCAAGCAGACTCGAAGTAGTCTTTGATCAGAAATGCAAGTGAGCAAGAACTTGAGACGAATTGCCACGACGAACGACAGTTGACGACTCATAATTGATTTTAGGCTGCACTCGGCTGAAGGGCAAGCGCGGCGAATACATACATAGATGAAGATAACAGATAAAGAAAACATTGCTTCGCAGAGCAATTTACAAATTTAAGAGAGTTTTGTTTGGTGCTGCATAACCAAACACCATTTTTTGCAAATTTTGACAGGTCGGGGGTCATACATACATAGATGAAGATAACAGATAAAGAAAACATTGCTTCGCAGAGCAATTTACAAATTTAAGAGAGTTTTGTTTGGTGCTGCATAACCAAACACCATTTTTTGCAAATTTTGACAGGTCGGGGGTCATAAAAAACTACAAAATATTGACCAAAAATTCGAAAATAAACCAATAATGCAGCTAGATAGATATTCGAATAACAAATTCAGAGAGGTATTCCACTTTTAAATCGGGTAAAAATTTCAAAAGTTATGGGCTAAGCAGTGCTGGGTTCTGGTCACTTTTCTGCAAACCCATTTTTTGCAAATTTTGACAGGTCGGGGGTCATAAAAAATTACAAAATATTGACCAAAAATTCGAAAATAAGCCAATAATGCAGCTAGATAGATATTTTAATAACAAATTCAGAGAGGCATTCCACTTTTAAATCGGGTAAAAATTTCAAAAGTTATGGGCTAAGCAGTGCTGGGTTCTGGTCACTTTTCTGCAAACCCATTTTTTGCAAATTTTAACAAGTCGGGGGTCATAAAAAACTACAAAATATTGACCAAAAATTCGAAAATAAACCAATAATGCAGCTAGATAGATATTTTAACAACAAATTCAGAGAGGTATTCCACTTTTAAATCGGGTAAAAATTTCAAAAGTTTGGGCTAAGCAGTGCTGGGATCTGGTCACTTTTCTGCAAACCCATGTTTTGCAAATTTTGACAGGTCGGGGGTCATAAAAAATTACAAAATATTGACCAAAAATTCGAAAATAAACCAATAATGCAGCTAGATAGATATTTTAATAACAAATTCAGAGAGGTATTCCACTTTTAAATCGGGTAAAAATTTCAAAAGTTTGGGCTAAGCAGTGCTGGGATCTGGTCACTTTTCTGCAAACCCATTTTTTGCAAATTTTGACAGGTCGGGGGTCATAAAAAACTACAAAATATTGACCAAAAATTCGAAAATAAACCAATAATGCAGCTAGATAGATATTCGAATAACAAATTCAGAGAGGTATTCCACTTTTAAATCGGGTAAAAATTTCAAAAGTTATGGGCTAAGCAGTGCTGGGATCTGGTCACTTTTCTGCAAACCCATTTTTTGCAAATTTTGACAGGTCGGGGGTCATAAAAAATTACAAAATATTGACCAAAAATTCGAAAATAAACCAATAATGCAGCTAGATAGATATTTTAATAACAAATTCAGAGAGGTATTCCACTTTTAAATCGGGTAAAAATTTCAAAAGTTTGGGCTAAGCAGTGCTGGGATCTGGTCACTTTTCTGCAAACCCATTTTTTGCAAATTTTGACAGGTCGCATAAAAAATTACAAAATATTGACCAAAAATTCGAAAATAAACCAATAATGCAGCAAGATAGATATTTTAACAACAAATTCAGAGAGGTATTCCACTTTTAAATCGGGTAAAAATTTCAAAAGTTTGGGCTAAGCAGTGCTGGGATCTGGTCACTTTTCTGCAAACCCATTTTTTGCAAATTTTGACAGGTCGGGGGTCATAAAAAACTACAAAATATTGACCAAAAAATTCGAAAATAAACCAATAATGCAGCTAGATAGATATTCGAATAACAAATTCAGAGAGGTATTCCACTTTTAAATCGGGTAAAAATTTCAAAAGTTTGGGCTAAGCAGTGCTGGGATCTGGTCACTTTTCTGCAAACCCATTTTTTGCAAATTTTGACAGGTCGGGGTCATAAAAAATGACGAAACATTGACCAAAAATTCGAAAATAAACCAATGATGCAGCTAGATAGATATTTTAATAACAAATTCAGAGAGGCATTCCACTTTTAAATCGGGTAAAAATTTCAAAAGTTATGGGCTAAGCAGTGCTGGGTTCTGGTCA